CATAGAGAGATAAAGCTGGGCTGGGTGGCTCAGTGGTTGAGTGTCCTCCTATGAACCAGGTCACGGTTCTATTCCCGCCCGGGTTACGGGCTCGATCCCCAGTTGGCCTGTGCAGGAGGCAGCCAATCCGTGATTTTTTTTCTTGTTGATGTTTCTGTCTCCCTCTCCCTTCCTCTCTGAAATCAATAAAATATGTATTAAAAAAAAGACTAAAAATACCACAGGGGGTCAGTCTGACCCTCGGCCTCTCCATCCCCCTTTTCAGGATTCAGAGCTTTGATTTCCAGATGTCCTGGGGTGACTGGTGGGGTGACCGAGGTCAGGAGGCCCAAGTCCCTCCCAGTGTGTTTGACATGGTTTGAGCATTGGGGAGGGGGAGGGCGTGGGGCGGGATTTGCAGAAAAGAACAGAAAAACCAAACTTGCGGTGAGTCTTTTAGCCACTGACCCGTTGATTAATAATCTGAGCCACACCTGGGCTGTGTGGCTCAGTGTTGACCTATGAGCTAGGGTGTCATGGCTCCATTCCCACCAAGGGCACATGCCCGGTTGGCACATTCCTCCCTGGTTGGGGCCCGTGCAGGAGGCAACCAATAGATATGCTTTTCTCACATCAATAATTCTGTCTTTCTATCTTTCACTCTCTCTGAAAATCAATGGAAAGCTCGGGTGAGAGGGAGGAAGGGTGAGAGGAAGGAAGGGTAAGAGGGAGGGAGGGAGGGAGGAAATGCTGAACTCCTGGAGGCAGGAACCAGGCAAGCTCTGTGCTCAGGGTCTGGACCGCAAGGCGACCCCATAAGGAGGTTGAATTGCTGACAAGCAATAACTTAAAAATATAATGAACGTGTCGGAAGGAACATGGCTGGCGCGTTGAGGAACAAATGGGCCTGCTTCCGGGGTTCTCGGGCTGTCAGGGGTGGGGGAAGGACCCCGAGATACCACCGAGATCCACACTGTCCCTGCCCAGCTCCAAAGCAAGGAGCCATCTCTATACAGGGGCGCTGGGGCGCCCCGCTTAAGGCCTGAGAGCCCTCCCTCCCTCCCTTCCTTCAACCTGAACATTAAAGACAGTTCTGCCTCATGGGGTTGCCAGGGCCCCGATGGGACTGCACATGCAAAGATACGGCATTCACTCGCGTCACGTCGCGTGTGCCCGATGGCTTCCCACACGGGGAAATGGGGAGCCACCCCTGAAACCTGGGCTCTGGGGTGCTTTTCAATCCAGGGTTTTCTAAAGGCAAATATTGAGGGTCACCGGTGAAGACGACTGGTCAGTGCGTGTGCCAGCCACGCCGGGTGTCCTGAATCTGGTCGATTTAGTTCGACGGCGTCTTTTCTGGAGAACTTTCCTACTTTCAGTGGGGCGACCGACCCAGGTGAGGGCCCAAGATTCCACAGAACATCGCACGGTTGCGTCACACGGCTGTTCCTTTTAAAGCAAAAGGCAGAAATGAAACATGGTGTAACCATTGCATTGTCTGTAATGAAAACATTTAATATTCAAAAGTACATATATTTAACATCATTACTTTTCCA